TAGCAAAAGAAGCATTGATGGGATAGCACTGAGAAAGTTTTGCGGATTTTTAAATTACTATCCAGTTCATAGCAAGTGAAAAGTCACAGGCCTTGAGACATCTAGTTCGGCACTTTTTCCAAGGAAGGACCAACTGTCCCTACAACATTCCTAGCCAGTATTTGTCAATCTTTCTAAAAGTACTCTCCTGATGGAAGTCACATTTTTTTTGTGGGCTGTTTCACTATTCACACTAAAAGATTTCACCCGTTATTTCTCCTCCTATCACCAAAGGAATTTATTTCCTTCCTCTGTGCAGCTACCTTAAAATTACGTGAATGCTGTTTTCATCTCCCACCATCAGTCTTCTCTACACCAAGAAAACTGAGCTCCTTCAGTCTTTTTTCAGAGATCACAATTTCTAGACACAAAGTGTCAGCAAGCATGAAGTCACCCCTGAACGGACAGAGGGATCTTGGATTTTGTTCAGAAGAGCTCAGAGCACTGTGTCCAGGTGCTGGGTTTTGTCTATTTGATGGCTTCAGAGACTTCGTGAGTTGTTTCTTTTTTCCTGTCTCTTTTCTTTCTGAACTTATCTCGATTCCCTACAAGATGTCCTGAGCAATATTGTTCAGTTCAAATGGTGTCTAGAGAGTGAAAAACAACATCAACATCAGGTTTATCATAAGGGGAGAACTAGGACACTTCTTAATTAGTGTATGGGGCCTACAGAAGTCTCTTCAAGGAGAAATGTGAGAGTGTATGTCTGACTACTTTGTCAGGGAAAGAAGGGCCAATTGGCAATACAGTGCACTGACGTATGGATACTATGAGCTATGGACTAGAAAAAAGGAAATTTCACCTTGTTAGCTCAGTGGTTTGAGCGTGGTGCTGACAACAATGACCGACACCAAGATCGCGGGTTTGATTCCCGCTCGGCCCCCATGTGTTGCCTGGTCCGGTCGAGAGGTGCTGTCCCTGCCCATGACAGGGAGGTTGGACTAGATGATCTCTGAGGTCCCTTCCAGCCTAGGCCATTCTGTGATTCTATGATTCTATGATTATATAAGGGGGAATTTTGTGGGGTGTCCTCATAATATGTGCATAATTCCATTCTGCAAAAAGCTTCGCGACGATTCGCTTGTGATGATATAACCCATAGTAAATAAGGTACAAAGGTAAAAAGCAAGATTGCTGCATGGTTTAATTATGAATAAGGTTGTAAAAATGGCTTCTAGTCTTCTAAAAAAAAGTTACAGCCAAGATGTAAGTTTTAGGTTACCAACCAATTTAAAATCCAGGTTTGCTTTCCAGCTTTACCATAGGCTGTTGGTCTGATTTTAAGGCAAATACACTATTTCTATGACTTAGTTTTCCATTTGTAGTGACTCACCATGAGTCAGAAGTAGGTGACTCAGAGGTTATCAACAGTACAGCTCCTGTGGATTGAAATCAGAGGCAGCTTTGACAGGTACCTGCATGGTGTTGCCCAGAATATACAGGAGCCCTGAAGACTAGCAGTACACGTGCAGTGCAGTTCATCCAAGTCTGCTATAATTTCCTTTTTTGCCTGAGACTGGCTCCAGCACCCATATTGTCATAACCTTTAAATATATGAAAGATGAAAATTATAATACTTCTTTTTCCAATTTGTTTAATCTGTGATGTTTTTCAGGCAATTAAATGAGCTACAGTATTTGTATTTTGCATGGAAGATAGTACAGTGGGTATTCTGATAAAACTTTAGTAGCATGTATAGCTGTAGTTGCAAAAACGTATCATTGACTTAGTTCACAAGAATCTTGTTGCATTCTAACATGCAGAGTGGGTTCTTTTAAATTACTGTCTATCCCCATTGCCTCTTGCATTTGAATTTTGACGTGCCCTTTGCCAATTCTGCAATTCCATAAGAATTTCAAATGCTGTGATTTAACTTAGGTATCTTCATCTAACTAAAACAACTGTAATCATCTAGATACCACTATGCTTCCTTTCTAAAAGTGCAAAAATGTAACTGAGAAGTGAATATCCTGCAAAGATCTGTTTGCTTTTATTTGCCTCATAACTTACACCTCTCGGTATATACCATGTGGTTCACAACTTTAGAAAAGCCTCAAAAAGCAGATAGTCTGAATTCCCTTTTTTCACACCCTCTCCCCATTAACAACACAGCAGGGAGAACCTCTTCCTGAATGTGGACCCTCCCTCTGAAGCACTGACGTGTTAAAGAAAGATCATATCATACCTGTTCGTGTCAGACTTACTGAGTGCTTCCAGTTCTAGTCCATTACTCCAACATCTCTTATCGTTAGTTATCATTTACATTAAATACAAGATGGAAAATGAAAAACCATCCAAATATAAAACCAAAACATTAATTTTTTGAAACTAGACGCAAAATTAAATTTTGCAGCACGCATCATCCAAACTAGCTATTTAATTAGGCTAATTTGTGACACATCAGTTCTTGCTTGGGGACTTATATGTGAATGATACCAAACAGATAAGTAATTGGCCAAAGATTTATTAAATTTACCTCCTTCAGATCAAAAGGGCCAGCACAGCAATCCTCACTGTGAGCAGGTAAGTGTGTGTTTTCTTTCTGCACCACTGCGTGGTAGAAGGCAGACCCACCGGCACAACCGCTCCCTCCGAGTTACAAAATGCTGCTCCATCATTATGAGCGTTGGTGTCCAGGCTTCCCAGCAGGCCTGTAAAAATGTACAGCATGGTTAGTTCTCTATTGCCATAAACCAAAACTGATTTCTCAATAATTCAACTTTTATTATTAACTTTGCAGCTGAAACCATTTCCCAGTACGTGACAGAACAAAAAACAGGGGTAGCATTGATCTCTAATTGCGTTAAGATCGGATTTAAGTTATTTCTTACAATGATGCGTGCCTGAGCTTCCCCTAGCTGTGCAAGTGACCTCTAATCTCTATAGCACAAATAAAGCTGCTTACGTCGCGTTGTAGAAAAAAAACCCTACCTACAGCAGCACTGCCACCTTCTGCCTGCTTGCTTTCATGCATGTGAGTCCTAGGTTTGTACTGCAGAGCGACAAGAGGGAAGGTGCATTTTTCTACTAGTAGTATCTAAGGCAAGAACATTTTCCAATACTCAGGGATAACATATGTCTGAAGTTCCACATATGTGGAGGGTTTTCACATATGAACTTTTTCTGAGCATAGAAAAGGACTTCAGACATTTGTCCAGGATTTTTAACCATATCACATCCCAGCCAGAGAAATAGCTCAAAATCCCCAGCAAATGTGTACATCTGTGTACTTGTGCCAACCACAAGGAATATATTATAGCTATTAAATACGTTCCGTAGAGTATGTGCACATTTGAACAGATTTGACATATTCCTTGTGGTCTGCACGAGTACAGCAGCACGGATGGTCCATGTGTGCAGGACTAACTCAAGCAGCTGGGGTACGTTTGACGGTATGCAAGCATTTGTGTGGTCCATATGCAGTTGGCCCAGCAGACCCCAGATGTATCACATGCGGTCCTGACACAAATTTTCCCACCTTTGCTGTACATCAGCGCATAAGCAAGATAGAAAGCTGGAAGCCCTGCTTCAGATTATATTCTTTAAAAAAGTTGAAGGTAGGGTAAATTATATTCTGAACTGAAGTTGTTTGGGTGACTGCAGGGATCCCCTCCACAAGAAGGCAGTGGCTCTGTGAAAGTTTGCCATATGGTACTAGACCGTGAACTGTTGGATGGAGCTTTCAGTATAAACATCAGTTATGAGTTTGGTTGTATCAGAAAAACTGAAAAGGAAGATAAATTCGCTGTATGACTTTACCTTGTTGGGACACGTCCTTGGGGTTTTTCACCCCGTGGAGGCACAGAGTGACACTGGCAGTTACGAGCCTCCCTCTTCTGTGCAGCAAGGTATGATATGACTTTTGGCAAGAGAACAAGCCTTCTTCGCTTTTTTTTCTTAGAATATGGTAGTTAGGTATTCCAGTCTCTGCTTTACTCAAGCCTTTAACAGACTAAGTTGCTCTGATAACTAATCTTTCTCCTCCTCCTGATAATGTGTGATAATACTGATGCATACAGAGGGGTGTCTTATCTTTACGAAAGCATGAGACCATAAATGAGGCGAGCAGGCATATTTCCAGAATAGAGAGCTAGAAGCACAGTGATACCATCATACCAGTTTTATTACTCATCATTAGCTGGGAGAGGACAGTTTACACCTCTGAGACTATTCACAGGCGTCACAATCCCTGGTGCAGGGTCCCTGTGTGCTTACTGAACTCTCTCTGCTGTGCTCATGTATTATGAACCCAAACCTGGTCCTACTTAGCGACTCAGTTCTGGTACTCACATCACCACTAACTTGATCAAGCATTGCTGTGGACTCAGCTTGTTGCCACTACTGCCACCAGTTTAACCCAGCCACGTCCATCCCACAGGCTGCTACATGCTGAGCTCAGAAATGCCAGAGGACAAGATGCATTTGCTTCTGGCTTGAGATAAAGCTTTTCAGAGCCTAGGACAGAGGTTTCTACAAGATTGTTCTTGAACCTGGAAAGCTTCCCAAACTAGAATCATCTACTGTCAGTCATATGGGATGAACCAATTGCTCTTGATTACTTGAATTCCTTTCTTGGGCACAGTCAATACACAGAGGGCAGACAATTCCATCCAAAGCAACAAAACATAGAATAATAGGTAAGGCATAGAAGAGTGAATGTAGATGGCAATTGCCTAAGATTAGGCTTTCCCTTCACACAGAAGTACATTATTCTCTTTCTTTTCTCTCTTGGACCTGTATTTATTGTTAAGAACAAATTAAGAACTAACAAAGGCATCGGCAAGTACCAAAGAACAGTCTCTGCTGCTTAATACCCCAAAACTCTGATGGGGAAAAATGTAAAAGAAGTTACTATAAATCCATTTTGTCATCAAGATCTCAGTTTGCATTCAGTTACGTGGCCTGTTTTGCAGGATTTAACCTGATGGTGTAAGAACCTTGAAATAAATCTCTTAGCGACGATTAGGGATGAAAGAGAGATTAGCACGGCAGGAGAGCTGAACTCTTTTTTCTCCATCTCCGTTGGCAAGCCAGTGTAAAGGCAGAAGAATTACACAGATATCAAGAAATCAGTACTTCAGTATTCCTCAGGATGGCTGATCCAGGTATTTTCTCCCCTGTACCCAGCAAGTTACCAGTTTCAAGATCCTTTTCAATCCTCTGAAGCAGGTTGGTGGTTTCTTTTCCAATAAGTCGCAAACGTGTGCTTAGTTAAATGACAAGACTTTAGTGAAATTGCTAAGATATGGTTTGTTTATGACAAAACTGCAAGCCAAATTTCTCTGGAACATTTGTAACTAATAAGTAAATGTTATGAAGAATTAAATAGCTGTGCTACATCTTGTTCTATGTAGTTAGGGGAATTTGATAGCACCAATAAGTTGCAAACGTGTGCTTAGTTAAAATGACAAGACTTTATTGAAATTGCTAAGATATGGTTTGTTTATGACAAAACTGCAAGCCAAATTTCTCTGGAACATTTGTAACTAATAAGTAAATGTTATGAAGAATTAAATAGCTGTGCTACATCTTGTTCTATGTAGTTAGGGGAATTTGATAGCAAAGGAAGAGGTAGGTAGCATTTTGGAAGCAAAAAGCCACCCTGTGCTGATAGAAGCTGAATTTCAAGTTAGACAAGGAAGGAAAGATTGAGAACAGTACCGATAACATGGGGGGGATTTCCACATCGATTGGGCTGCTTCTGTTGAAGGAAATACTTCTCCCTTTATAGAATAAAATCGAGCCTGCTTTCCCACAGCTGGGGAAAAAGCATCTGTGTATATGCTTCACAGCTCTGGGGTGGCTCATGTGCAATGGCGAGTCGTGTTTTTAAGAACTTTGATAGAGCTGTTAGTTCCACTGAACTACTGGGAGCGCTTGTGGTTTTACAGTAGCCCGCTGCCAGATGTCACTCGGAGAACAGACATATATTGCAGAGCAAGACAATGGCACTTTTAGCTCATGATTGCACTTTGGTTCCTTGTTCATGGTGCTCAGTTGTGCTAAAGATTCTTTGTGCAATCCCAGGTATACTGGTGACAGTCAGGGTCAGTCAACAAGTGGTCACTGCACTACAGCCACCAGTCATTCCTCTCCCTTTCCTCTGGCAGCGTGGCTCATAGGAAATCGCAGATCTTACACCCCTGGAGGACTGTGCCATGGGTACCTGTTAGATGAATGTGAATAGTCCATGAAATCTGGTCTTATAACAATACCAAAATTGCACAAAGAAAGCTAGAACTATTGTATGAGAATTACAGGAGGCAAGGACTTTGCAAGAGTTGCTCATGCGCATAAATTATTTGTTTTAACTTTAGGCATCTGAAAATGGGGGAGGGAACTGTATCAGAACAGATACATGAGATTGTATCCGTGCTCATGGAATTCAGCTTCAAATTTCTTTATAGCTAGAACATGACAGAAAGTCTCAAATTCATGCCATCCTAAATCAACAATGCCTCTTGAGTAGATGAAGTTTAAGTAAAGTAGAACTGTTTACAGCTTTTGTTCAAATGTGAAAGCAAAAGATGTTTGGCAAGGAGGGGTGTCTCAGTGCCACTGTAGCTAGATGTGTGCCTGACAATTTAGAGGCATTTTGCAGACACATACATGTATTTCACAGAAATGAACAGGAAGCGATGCATTCATATACGTTGGCCAGCGAACGTGAACTGCGTATTAACGGCTAGGAAATTTCACAACAGATTCTCAGGGACCTGAATATCGGGGACAAATAAACCTATTTGTGGCAGCCAGCTACAGCTATTTAAGTTCAAGTCATGAACTGCTTAACTGGTGAAGCAATCAAAGATACTGTCTCCGGCTTAGCAGGCAGGCTGTCAGCTGAATTCATACGGAGGCTTAATTCTGTGCCAGCAAAGCATGATCCTTTTAAATGAGGTCTGAAGGATACCCTAAAAGAATGGTGTGAAGGAAGTGTTGACATTTTATAAATGACTTTTCTCTGGACTTGTTTGTACAGATGTGTCTGTCACTAATCAGTATTTCATCATGGTAATCAATATCATTATCATAACATGATTTGAATCAATATTCAACCATAGCTGATAATCAGCCTTAACAATCATTAACATCAGGACTCTGTTTTTAAAGTCAGAGAGCTGCTGGCCTCAACATCTTTGGAAATACGACTGGTAAGGAAAACCAATGTGCATTGTGCACACTATTCCGTGTGCTGTCCTAAAGATACAGAGGTGAGTAGTTTTGAGGGGAATTGTTTTCCTCTGTAAACACGGGAGAAAATAAATGCAACAGAAATTAATTAGATCTCACAGGCATTAAAATGTTTTCATATTCAAATGCATGAAGATATCTAACCATATCCCAATGTGAATGGAACAACCTGTTCCTCGCCTGTACGAAAGCAATTGATTCCATCTGACCATGACGACACTGGGATGCCATTACCTTTTTAAACCATACTCTACAACAATCTGCTTACCCAACGTTAAGCTTCATTCAGCTGCAGATCCTCTAGTGGGTAGGTGTAGCCCTACTTCTGTACAGCTTGTCTGCAGGTGTTCTTCATGCCAGTTTAGTTGATACCAGCTTTATTCAGATGAATTTGTACAGTTCCCTAGTTTAAAGAAATATTACATGAGAATAATGCTGCTTATAATTCTCTTATTTCCCCAAGTTTACAGGATTATGCTTTACTCTTTATAAATGCCATTGTATTAATAGAATTAGATGACTGTATAATCAAGGAAATATGTAGCTGTATAGTATAGAAACACTCAAATTCGAGAAACACTCGAATGAAAGTTACTAAAACAGTACAAGACCATGCTGAGAGCAGGTTTTCTGGTGAGGGAAGAAAGAACAACTCTATATATCTTGCACGTGTTGAGGAAAGGCAACCACAAAGCACTGAAGAAGGGTAAAAGTTCCCAGTTTGATGGTGAGATGCTGTGGCAGTTCTACATCCACATCACATACACTGAAACCACATTGTTTCCAGCTCCAGCAGGTTTCATCTTGGACGTTATTAGCTGTTTTCCAACAGTGATTGTGATACAACTGGAGAGGTGCAAAGGAGAAGTTATTAGCAGCATTGCAGAGAAGCAAGGTTAAAAGTGCATCTTTTCTTAGATGCACTAATAGCTGGGAAAAAGACAACAGACCTTGAAACACCAAAATTCTCCTTTGGCTGTGAAACTCTACCTGATTTGAAACTGCAGGTGGGGAGTCTCTCTGAATATATTTTATGCCCTTCATTAAGATCTTCGGAGAGAAAAATAAAAGAGGTCATATAGGAAAGTTATTAAAGGCATATTAAAACCAAGCTAATAAAATATACAAAATATAAATTACTAAATGCATGAGTAGCTCCCTGTCATTTTTCAAATGGTTAGAGTAAGGTGTGATTGCCACCATTCTCAGGACAAAGCAGCTGCAGGAGCCGAGGTTAAGACAGTAATGGTGATTCCCTCAGGAATAAATAGACCTCATTCAATTCATCACACTATTCCAAAACCTGGTTTTGAGTAACCACTTTTTAAAAGAAAGGGTGGGCAATCAGGTGGAGAAAGAAATAGAGCATCTTAAACTGTTGCCTTTTTTCTTAAGGTGTGAAGACATTCTGCTTTTGTTTCTAGAGTGGTATGTTAGTTCACATAAAAATGGGAGTGCTTTTTATGCCAGATCAAGTGGAAAAACGTGGTGGAGGATGGTTTGTTCACCAGTAATTTATTCAGGTCACAGCACTTAAAAAGATTTCTAGAAAACCAACACATTCATTGAGAGTTTACCTATCTGTTGAACGTTTTATGTCTGTGGATAATCAGTCATTTCCACCTGCACTTTTTGCCAGTGATCATCTCTTAGTAGTATTAGTGTGAGAGTAAAACTGCTTTTTGCTAACAAATTCATGTTTTATTGCACATAATTGATTAAATTACTAACAATATCTGTAGGATACTGTGTTTCTAGTGCTATTTTCACACTTTTTTCCATGTGGAAAAAGGGCTTATGTGATTATGCTGTATATATCTGCTTGTTTGTCCTGCTTGTTCAACTTTTGTACACAAATCTGATGATGCTACAGTAATTTAAGAATTATAAATACCTACAATCATCAAGAAAATACAGGCAACAAGTAGAAAGGAAAGGCAGCAGGAGTCTTCCGGAGAGAAAGACAGCAGAGCAGCACAGAAAAATGCTCTAGACAAAAATCCATAGGAGTCCAGAGCTCTACAGTCCGCTTGTTTTTAATTGCTCTAGTTGGTCATTATCTTTTTTTTTTTTTCCCCAAGTGGTTCACATTGGATGAAATTTAAGCAGTACCTTTCCCTGGGGCAGTCCCTTGGCAGGACTCTGAGTATGTGAGGCTGTACAGGAAGTTTTCTGTATTCTCTATAAATACCTAGTCAAACAGACAGTAATCTCTCTCTTTCTTCTTCAGATTTCTACTTGGATACATGCTCCTAATCAGCTTACAAGCTTCTCTTGACCTGTGCTTCCCTTCCTAACGCTGATCTGACTATGGCTGTCCTCAAAGTAAAATTCACCAAAACTAAGAGGGACAAATTGGCTCAGATCTTATGGATCCTCAACTGGTTTTCTGTAGTGAGCGGGATCATTCTCTTCAGTCTTGGCCTCTTTCTGAAAATAGAGATCAAGAAGCGCAATGAAGTGATGGCTAAAGGGGACATAAACTCTGTCCCCAACATGCTGATCTCCGTAGGGGTCATAGCATGCATCATCAACTTTCTGGGTGGCAAAATCTGCTATGACTGCTCAGATGCCAACAAATTCTCGCGATGGAGACTAGTTATGCTCCCATACATCGTATGTACCTTCTGCTTTACCTTCTGCATCCTGGTGGGTGCTCTCATGTGCTATACCATGAGGAACGAGCTGGAAGAGTCTCTCTATCTGGGACTGAGGGATGCTATAAAGTACTATAAGGACACTGACATACCTGGACGATGTTTCTTAAAGAAAACAGTGGATATGTTACAAATTGGATTCCGATGCTGCGGTAACAACGGCTTTAGAGACTGGTTTGAAATTCAGTGGGTATCTGCTCGCTATCTGAATATGGCTTCCAAGGACGTTATGGAGTAAGTATTTACTAGTTGTAACAAAAAATTCTAGGAGAAAAAGTCTCTTGAGAAGGCAAAGTAGATACTCAGTTTTACTGGAACTTTGTCTCTTAAGCAAAAAACTGTAAATGACGGTGTTACAGAATACGATAACTACTTGCCCAAAAGTTGTCTTTTGCTAACTTTCTAGGGATGCAAAACAAAGCAAAAATGTATCTTCCCTTTTTTAATGCAGTGATCTAGCTACCTCAAAATTTCAATTATAGTGAGCTGATAATGGAAAGGATTGTACCATCAATACCTTGTAGAGTCAATCCTTGAAACAAGATCTTTCTCCCTCAAGATTTTGCAAACCCTTATTCAAATCTGTATGTTCACATGTGAGAAACTGCCAACACTACATACACTGCTTAAAAAAGGAGAAGAAAAACCCTTGAAATTTGGGTATTTTTTGGTGGTGGGGCTTCACATGATGTAACAGTTGTGAAATAACAGGCTAAAAAAGGAGAGCCTGGTAATTCTTGCAGACAACAGAAAAGGTAACAATAAAAAATTTAAAAGTAGACAATCTAATATGTAAACATTCTTCTAAAGCTGAAAATAAAATCTTCACTGATAATAGCATAGTAGCTATATATCCCTGGGAAAGACAAACACAAAGACACTGACTGGCATTTGTTGAGTGTTCTGTTTTGTTGAACTCAAAAATCATTGACAATAAAGCCAGAGGAAGGAAGGCCAAAGATCTTATTTTCACAGAATTTGCAACCTGAAACTGTCATCATAGCAAAGTATACACACAGAGCTGCAAACATATCAGAGGGCAAGACCTCAGAGAATACGGACAAGAGGGCATCAGCATGTGTAAGGCAGCTGTGGAAACAAAGCAGGCGTTAAAGTGACAGTTTTCAAGAGAGAAGCTGGAAAGCAACAGTGACATAAAACAGACTGACCCAAGAAGTGTTTTAAATTCTGATCCTGCACTGAAAAGTGACATGACAACAAAGATGGTCCATAGGAACTTAAAAGTAGTATCGTATTGGGAGGACAAAAGTAAGATATACTGCCTTTTATTTCTGAGAGACATGCAGAAGCAGTCATGGTCTACCCAGGGTCTTAGCTAAGCTCCATTTTCTTCTGCAGTGTCACCTGTGCTCCACCGTTATTTTCAATTTTTAATTTTAATTTTTACTTTTAAAAATTATTTTTAATTATTGTCCTACATAGGCAGAAGATGCCAGTGAAATATGTGTGAGGAAAGTATATTGCAGAATTTCTTTTACTGTTTACAAATTGGATAATTCCATCTTGATTGCTGGAACCCAAGTTGGTGCTGTATAATCAAATCATACTATGATTTATAAAAATCTGGTAGCAAAAAAACAATATGAAATCATTGGAAGCAAAGTCCAGCTGGCGACGTTCAGAAAAGATGGAGAAGGAACCAAGTATTTTCCTTGATTTTATCTTGTGTTTGGTAGATTAAGAGGTAAAGCAGGTGAGAACTGACATCCTGTCAACTTGCAAGGAACCCTTGCAAAACTGAACTTTTCACCTTCCTTCATAATCCTCTTCCCTCCGCTTTCTTCTCCATCTCCATTGCCAACAACACAGTGTGACAAGACATGGGGACAATCAATGGTAATGGAAGGAGGAAGAGGCAGGTTACAGCGGTACAATCCTATCATTGCTTTGGGTGGGTAAAAATCATCTTTTTATAGTCTCAAAAGGAAGTTTTGCTTTACAATAACCAACAACCTTGAACTGCAACAACAAATAGCAGTGAATGTCTTGCTCCTTTTGTTACTGAGGTTGTCCCTTCTAACATTACCAAGACACATCATTCTCTAATTTGTCACTAGTAGAGGGAACACGATGGCTGGGGGACATAACACAAGTCTGGGAACTGCTCTTGCTGGCAGTAGAAAGAAGATTTCTCCTTATAACATGTAGCAGGAAGAAAAAAAAATAACTAAACTGATGCTTGAGATCAAAAGAAAAGCTTAAGACCTAGTTTAAGAGATAGTATTTGAGCCATTTTAGATGCTATATTGGGGCCATGTCACTGCAATGTGCAGGGCATTTGGCCGCCCCAAGCCAAAGCTTCCCTTCCACAATGTGCCAGCCTTGCTCTCCTCCCTCTGTGAGGTTTCTTTTCTCCATTTTATACCTCTCTGGCTCGCTTCCTCGTTTCTCTCCCAGTGCGTGGGTTTCCCTCTGCCCGTTACACTGCTTGCACACTTAAGTCTGGTTTCAGCAGACTGCTTGGATTCTTTTGCACTGCTTCATTCTGTTGCCATTAGCAGGAATATGACTGGCCACAAAGTGAAGAGCTAGACTTCAAAATAGAGAGGAACTCATGCCTAGCCCACTCCTAGGTGGAAAATGGCAGATGAACTTCCTGACTTCCTCGGAACGATCTTTTGGCAGGTATTTTTGACAGAACGTTAAACAAACCAAAATACACCTCCTCCCAAAATAAAGGAAAAAAGGAAGGCGGTTGTATGTAGCAGGCCCACGGCAATAAAATGAAGTTAATTATTCTGCTATCCCAGCACAGCCACTAATACTGAGCTTGCTAGCAGCTTATGATTTTTTTGAAGGATACATGTAGTCCCAAAATGCCATAACAATACTCTATCACAGATTTTCTGCATCTTCTGTTCACCTGGATGAGCTTCTTGGGGTGATTTTCTTCCCTTTAATTTTGATCATCTGTAGTCAAACAAGAAAATATTATTTGCAAACATTATTAAATGAGGATAAGTTTTGGAAAATATTAAAAATTCTACTATTAGCAAATTGTTAAAGTTGGATATCTATGAGAAAGTTGTCTTTTATGTATTCTGGCTCCCTAACAAAAGCTAAAGAGTACGAGCTTCATTAAAACAGGCCATGGTTCTCACCTGTGGGGCTGTCTCAGGAAATAAGCCTTTTGGAATGAGCATGAAAATAGATAAATGCTTAGAGGCTACTTCCCCAAAGTGTGAAATCATCTCTCAACATCTCATATACTCTCCAATTTCTGGAAAATCTATTTCTCTGAAGAGCCTGCTTGGGAACAGAAGTCCTCAAAAGGACATACTCACTAAAGAGCAGATAATAAGAGGAAAACGGTTGTCAAGGATTCATTTAACTGCTCCAGAAACTCTTGATTGATCTGAGACCATGTTCTCTTCCCATCTTATGACTTTTTTCCCCCTTCCTATTTCTTTATCTTTCTTCTTTTCCCACTTGTTTTTCTCTGATCTTATAGGGGAGGGAGAGGAATAATTTTTAGCAACAATTACAAACAGCTTCAAAAGTTACAAGTAGTTACAAGAAGCAGAAACTCCCTTGTGAGTCAGTCTCAAAACATGTGCTGAACCACATTGCACATGGGTCCAGCGATGAAACACCAGCAGACAATTTCCAGTGGTTTCTGGGGCATGCACAGATGTTCTTGTTTTAGGTTTTCTCTTACGGAATGCTTGTGTTGAAAATCAGTCCAAAAGTAGCGAAACACATGATTTCTAGGGTCATAACTTTCATTAGAGTTCCTCAGACAAGTTCAGAAATTGTCTTTAGTATTCTTAGCGTAAGGATAGGTAAAAAACGGCAACATCTTTCTGAACATTGAATCCACATCTCGCACACCCAGTACCAAGAACCACGTCAGATACTGTGCTGATATCGCACTTAAGAAACAGAACACATGAAAAAATTAGTTGTCCTGCAGCAAGAAGCTTTTCCAGCTGGAAATACATTCCCATTTTCCTTTTGTTACGCCAGAGAGGCCTGCATCGCAGCAAACCTGTGTTATATCCTTTTCTAAAAATCACAGACGCTATCTTCTGACAGTGGGTTTGTAACACCCAAACTTTCTGTCCTGTTGCAGCCGTCTGAAGAGCAACGTCGACGGCAAGTTCTTGGTGGATGGAGTACCCTTCAGCTGCTGCAACCCCAGCTCCCCGCGGCCCTGCATCCAGTACCAGCTGACAAACAACAGTGCTCACTACAACTACGATTTTCTGACGGAGGAGCTCAATATCTGGATGAAGGGGTGCAGAGAAGCCCTGCTGGATCACTACACAGCTATTATGAGATCCATCGGTATTGCAGCATTGCTTATTTGGTTGTTTGAGGTAAGTTTCCTAAAAATGGTCCATGTCAGATTCATTGAAATCTTCCTGCTCTCTAGGATGGGAAACAACAGACAAAAAAGTGCTTCAGTATCTATTATTAACTCCAAGAACACTGCAGGACTTCCTTTAGTGCAGACAATTTCCTCAAAGTCCCCAGAGCAGAAGTGAATCTTATTGAAGATGAGAACTGTTAGAAATTATGTATATAATCCTGTATATTTACAGAGTTTTTTCAATAGACTACAGCATATTCTCTTCCCTGGGATCAGATACAGGATGATACATGCAGTGACACCACTGCAAGGAAATTGGGTGAGAAGGTTCAGTCAGCTTTAAAAAGAATATACAAATGTCAGCAGACCTTTGGCTGAATACATTATTTACAGTAAAAACCTAGCCTAAGTATTAATATCTCAAAGCCTCCTCATAGCTTCACCATATAGACAGCGCTTGCAAACACACCTTTTTAGCTGTCGATTAGATGTAGATTAGTCTGCTTGTCAGGCAATCCAGATCAGCACATCGCAGGCAAGCATGCCCACCTGCAGAGATGCAGGCTTACTGCTGGCAGCTGTAAAGAAAGTTGCCTGGATGGCATCATCTGCAGGTAAAGGACCTCCCTGCAATGGCAGAGGCTAAAATACAGGTTTCTTCCCTTTTTCCTAAGTTCTAGTTTTCTGATTATTGCTCTCCTGCATAAATATTAGCACTGTAATTAAAACAGTTCACAGCAGTCCTGAAGCAGTGCTAGGTGGGGTGGTGGTGCTGCCAGAAACGAAGCCTTTGGCAGCACATGAAAAAAGCTGCGAGCTGGCTCTCTGTGCTCCCTTAAATATTGACAAGCTGGGCACGTCAATCTCGACTCCAACAGAACTATGGAAGTGGGGCTTTGTCCTATACTTATCCTCCACTATAGGCCATTCTTCTTAATCTTAATGCATTCACATGTAGGACACATATGGCTTACATATGAATGATTAAACTCCTTGCAGGAAATAGCAATTTAATCAAGGTCGGAGGACAAAAAAATCCACAGAAATGAACAAACTACAGTCTAAATTTATGGGCTTTTCCCCCAGTGACTGATTGTTCTGTTAATTGATCATCCACTCTACATCAGCTATAGTCTCTGAGGCCACAGGGTTTCCCAGTAATTCTAGCTGTTTATGTGCTAATAACATGCAAGTGGGAATGTTACCAAAAGAATAGAGAGAGAATCAATCCATCTTTTCCTGGTATTTTTCTTTCTAAACAAATTAATTAATTGGGAGAGAGATTAGATGTGTTGCTGGGATAAAGAATGTGTCTTCTTTACCCAATATTAATTATTAGGCCTGTAAATACAAAAGTCTGAAAGTTGACTTAGTGTTACGTACGCTTGAGGGTGCAATTAAAACTCTCTGCTTCCCCTTTAACTGTTTGTTACAGCTCTCGGTACTTATTGGTGTCCGGTACCTACAAACAGCAATGAAGAATGTCCTTCTGCTGGGAGATTTGGAGGGTGAATCAGATGGTTGGTTACTAGAAAACAGCTTTGTGGAAACTGCCAAATACAACATCAACATCATTAAGAACCTCGGCAAAGCCAACCAGATCTCCACTGTCTCAGGCATGGACGACCCCAACATTGATGTTCACACAAACACAAACTGTGGCAAAAACAACGTTACAACAAAATCTATCCCAGCTGCCAGCTAGGCAAGTCTTCGAAAAAAGTGTACATCATAAGTGTAGCTTTGACTTATTTCTGTCTTACAATTACCACATTTTTCACTGGTGGCGGGAAAAAGAAAGGTAGGAAAACTAGTAAGACAACTGAACAAACCACTGACCTGTGACAGCTTCAGAAATGCTGATACTTCTTTGGCTGGATGTATTTTCTCTCATACTTGTGAAATCCTTGATTTTCAACGGTGCACAAAAAAAACTTTTGGAATTTTCCCCACTTTCCCTTGCTTACATACTTCTGTCATAGTCTGAATACATCAGAATAATCAATACATGCAAGCAAACGTTCCAGATAGGATCTACTAACATACAGATTGGTCTGTACCAAAGTTTGTCATTACTGTCATCACATCTGTAGAAATGCCAGCAGCACGGAAATTCCAAAAGAAATTACACCAGACAAAATGATTCTTAAAAAAAAAGACAAAAACTGTGAAATGAAAACTCTGTTAGTCCAAGTTTCCCTACTGCCCAAGGACAGGGGAAATTGGTCCAATTATACATACATTGCAACTCTTTGAAAAGAACCTGCTAGCTAGGTGAAATTGAACTGAAGGCAATGTAAATCAGCATAAGGTAGTTCACTTCTTTTCTCTTTCGCATAGTATCTCTTAATTTTTCCCCTCCGCAGTTCAGAGAAAGGCAGCTGTCACACCTCCCTGAAAGTCAACGGCTACTGCTGAAAGCACTTCTCTACACAGGAAAACTAATCGACAGCCCATGCTGGGATATTTGAAATTCCAAGTAGCAAGTGATAGCACGAGTTTTAACACAAGCACATACTTCCCATAAGACAAACACTGATGATCCTAGATCTTTAGAAGCTCCCAATTTCAAAAGTACTTACATAGATCCAGGGGCTGGAAGATAAGGGATTATTTAGAACCAATGAAGGCAACAACAGACTGACAGACCTCTCATCACGTTCCCAGTACAGCACTCGGGAACTTTGTCAATGCCTTCTGCAGCCAAGGCACTTCTGGTTACTCGTAGTTACTACCATTGTAATTAATCATTAATAGTAAGCAGGGAAAAAATACCAACATGAAATAGAGGATAAAAGAGCAAGTAAAATATTTCACTTGTTACTGGTCATGAATAATATGTTGGTTGAACACAACTTTGGACAGTTTGCGCATTCTTTGTGTATAATCAGGGAAAAGAAGTTGTATCACTGGGATACTCAAAGTAGAACTATCTCTGCTTTTGAAATTGTACAAAAGTTAACAGTAAAATTCTTCTGCCTGTCTAAACAATGCTGTTTTCTATAGTACTAGAATAAGTGAGAATTATACTGTAATAATATATTGTAAATAAATGTGTGTAAGTAAAAAAACTACACTGTAATTCAAGCAGGATATATGCATAATCAAATGCAATCAAATGCAATTGCTTCACTGCTTAAAATTTTAGGCCTATACTTAAGTACTTCAAAAATAAAAATGGACAGATGGGGTCCGTCTGCAACAGCAGCCTGTAGCAGATGTTTTGGAAAAGGCAGCTAAGAGGCAAGTTCATTAGAAAATAGTTCTTGCCCTGACAAAGCCTCCCAACTTCCAGGAAAGAGCAGTCTGGGACTCAGTATGACAAAGAGGGTATTTCTATCTCTGTGGTTTAATAAATCGCAGTGGACTTTTTTTTTTCCTATGAATTTTCATTGTGTTTTTTAAAGCCATTCATGCTTTTGATGGCCAAAACAGTTACAAGAATGAGCTTCAGGTTTTCATTTCTCACAACTCAATTCTGCATTGTTGGAAAAACTGCTTCTCTTTGGTTGCTGACTCCAACAACTTAACTGGGTATTCTCTAATACTTGCTGTAAGATGCAGCTGATGGTCATTCCTTATATATCCTCCCGCTGTTATTCCCAATTTTATAATCGTTTTATAATCTCTCCTGGTCCTATCTTCCCAGGTTTAAGAAGTTACTATTTAACCTTTTCTTCTATGAAGGTTGTTTCATCTTTGATAATCTTCATCACTCTTCTCCATTTATTATTTTTAAAGTAACAACACTGTGTAGAGCTGAAGTCATCATGAACTAAATAGGTCTTCTGTCCTTTTCCTAAGACTGCCTATCATTGCTTTCCCTCTTGACTGTTTCTGAGCATTGCGATAGTACTTTTAGGGATAGTTCTGTGAGAATGTTAAGAAAATCTTTGAAATGAATATATCCTGGGTTTCTAGTCAAGAGCTGGCTCAATATGAGCCAGCTGTGTGCCCTGGCAGCCAGGAAAGTAAACCACAAGATGTTAAGTTTCTGCATAGCTAGGTTAATTTTCGTTTACCAAAACTGAATCTTCTGTTATTATCCAGCCACTAAGTTTCACAACAACCTTCTGAAAACATTCAAAATAAGCTTTTTACAGAATATCTTTTTTATTATGCCACTTGATAATTCCGCTGAAAATGCTGAAAAGAAAGGCAGATTCCTGTGAATGGCCGTTGTTAAGCTTTGTCTATTGTGAAAATATCCCACTTACTCTTTTACATTGTTGCTGAACCAAATCTTTTTTATCTCATGACAGCTTCTTCTAATTCTAGTTGGAGAACACTATTCAAAATTTTTTGAGATCTACATTATTACTTACTGGCTCAACATCCTCATCATATTCATTAACTCCTTCCAATAGCTAGATTCATAAGCTGAGACTTCTCTTTATAAAAACATTAATTCTTCCCTTGGCACTGCATTTACCTGTGTGTCTACTTCTATTCTTCATTTTCATCACTTTGTCCGGTGTGGAAATAAAACTTAACTGGTGGGTAATTCCTTCAACCATTTCTGAGAGCCAAAAAAATATTACGGCTGCACGGCAGTCTGCTGTGGTGGTTGTGTTGCAGGACACTGAGCACAACAGATCCCTGAGCCACACCAGCAGCACTAAAATTAGCTGCTACCTACCAAAAAAGAATGAACACAGAAAGTTGGAGAAAGTCAAATACTGCAAAATAATCAGACTTCACAACAGAATATGATCTTCCAAAAAAGCAAATTTTTTTTCCAGATGTGTATGCAAAGCGTGCCACAGGCATCAGTCCACAGTGATCACTTCCTCAATAAAATTTTAGTCCATCTGCATTTGGGAAAACAGTTCTAGATTGTTCAATAACCAAAAGGTGTAACAAATAGCTTGGAGAAACACAGAAACTATTTCTGTAGATTTGTTTCATTAGGGAAAAAAAATCAAATCAAGAGGCTTAATAATGTGCAAATTTAAAAAAATAAAATGCTTTAAAAATAAAAAAGTTGAGAAATAGTTCAGCAAACCAGGAAATAAGAGCAGGGTTTTTTTTAAAAAAAAGCAGGAAATCTTACTCTGTATTTTAGGAAATATTTTCTAAAGGCAAAATACATTTAACTGTGGAAGCAGACAGAAACTGACATTTTGCACCATTTATAAATCTCTCTAGGTCAAATATTTACTTGCAGAATTGTAAGAGCTGTGAGCTTACTCATTTGGTAACTCTCCAGCCAAGGTCCCTGTATGAAGGATTTTTCAAAAGTCTGCTCTGAAAAATAGATTTAGAAGGAAGAGTGAACTACAACAATCATCCAGGCTGAGCATCTCTGTAAAGACACAGAAATTTCACGCAGTAGCTGCTGTAACACATTAGCTCGAAGAGCAGAGCTGTGTGTGTCCGGCTACATGTTTTCCCTGGCCCCTACAGGGCTCTCTCCTTTTCATATGAAGGGAACACGTTTTACCGTAAAAGACTAGTTCATATTTGGCACGTTATCCTCTGTCTTTGGGCCAACTGCCAAAATCTGCTCTGCTGTGGCTCGCAATGTGAGCACTTGTAAAATTAACCGGGTATCGGCACACGTTGCATAGGGAATAGTCGTCGTTTTGACTGTTGCCAGTAATTAGTCATTAGATTGTTCATTTCTATCCTGTACAGGCATTCAGAGTCCCCACTGATACGAATATACTAAAAAAGGATATGAATATACTACAAAAAGATGGCAGCTCATTCCAGGGTAATCAGGGGAAGATTTACTATTCTTAAATAAACGCATCTTCGCGTTGTACGTATTAGTTTCCTCAGGCAGTGCAAGTGCACCCTGCATTCCGAGTTTGTTTTACAGCACCTGTCACAACACCTCGGGTTTCCTGGAGTACTTAACATTACAGCCACTGGATCAAGAAAGCAAACGCAGGTAGCGGCACAGGCTCCATCTTTAATTCTCTGTAATTTATAAAGACAAAGATGGCATTAGCAAGCCAAGCCTTTAAGCCGAAGCATCTGCTCAGATACAGAAATAAATACGATTTAGGGGACACTTCTTATCCTATTTGTTATTAATGCTTAATCCAGTCAGAATCAATAACAATATATTTGTGCAGCAGCAACTTCCAGAGTAAGGAACTCACCTATGCATAAAACTATCTTCTTTAGGAAGTTCAGCACAACTATAGTCCTTTTTTTGACACTGATCTCATGAACAACAGTCACACAGAAATAAAAATTTAGATTCAGTTTTAATGTTTTATGTTTAACTTTATACCTGGTCTTTTCTCACTCACCATTACACAAAATAATGTATATAATCTCTTCGAATTTAAGCTCACTCTCCTTCAAGGCACATTTCCTCTACACAGCTTCTCCTTTGTGTACACTTTTGGCCATATAAGTTTAGAAAAACGTAGCTAGGATTAAAAATAACTGGGTTTGAGAGACTTGTATAGCAGTGGATTTTCATTATTTGTTTCCTGTATCAAACCCCAAATTTATCCTACCTGCAAAACATAGATAAAAACAAATAAAGAAAGATTGCGCCACATAAATGAAATTATTTTCAGTTTGGAAGAAAGTATCTTTGAAGACCTTGTCAAGTAATAGGTTAAAAGAATCCAAGTAACAAACTCACATGTTATCTCACGAATATGACTTGTTTACAATGGAGATTATTTAAGGATATTATCTAGAAAAAAAGGTGTATTTCAACCACAAAGCAAAGCATGATGG